CCTAAACCCTAAACCCAAATTCCCCTTCGTCCCCCAGTATGCGGCGGGTCATGGACAGTTGTGAGAACCTGGTATCCTGAGGCCCGAAACCCTGCATGACCCAGCGGCGTGGCAAAGGAAGGTGACAGGCAGACAGGGCAGTTGGCAGGGGCCTTCTTTGAGTGCGACTAATGTAGGGGCCGAACTAATTACCTATACTAGTTTGGAGGTTCCTTCCTGTAGTTATAGTATAACGGGCGCCAAAACCCTTATGGTGGTAGAGTTCAGGCTTAGGGCTTTTCGGTCTTTTAAGGGTTTAGGGTTGAGGGTTTAGGGTCTAGGGTAGGCCTCCTTCTTCCAAAGCTCTGAAGAACACCCGTAACCCGCCTTGTTGGGGGGTCGCAGATCAATTCGTAAGGGTTTGGCTGAGCCCCGAAGGCTCAAAAGCCCCTACAGAATCGAAGTAGTGCTCATGGAAGCCCTAAACCCTAAATCCCTTAACGCCCTAAACCCTAAACCAAAATCCCTAAACTCGAAACGCACAGAAGCCTGAATCTTCAATTGAAGTACAAACTCTTTTAGCCCGAAGATGTGGTAGTGGCCTCTGCCAGCGCATGGGAGTTTCTGAAACCTCCGGATGCCGGCTTATAAGCCCGATAGACTTTTAAACTTTAAAGGTTCGAAAAAGCGTGTTGTGGATGTTGTCAGGCTCCCACATGATGCTTCTGTCTGCAGCCACCTTCCTGCGACGTTTGTCGTGTTTGACCAGATCAGATCCTCCAGGGTCTTATGTACCCTGGAGGGCACCCCCGACATTGGAGAGCCACGTGTCGTAGGGCGTAGATGCAGCCCTATGGCATGCGATTCTCCCGCAGAAATCCACTTGCAAATCTCTACTTGGGAGATGCAGTCCCCATCACAGCCGAGAACCAGGGTCGGTTTCGGATCTTGGGTTTTCGCCTCAAGTTAGTCCCATCTATATAGTCTCTTTAATAAAAAGGGAACATGACCCTGAACATCCTAACACCTGCAACCTTGAAATCTGTACCCTACAACCCTCGCCCCACTAAACGAACCCTACACCTTAAACTCAAGCTAAACTCTGAAAACAGAAAGAGCTAAACCTGGACACTGCCCCCGTGCAGTAGCAGCTGAAGAATGTACGACTTTTTATAGTAGCCCTATGAAAGACTCTACTGTATGGGGGGGCAGTATCAACCCTAAACCCTAAACCCTACACCTCTAAATCCTAAACCTGCGAGGTTTCGGTACTAGGTACCGGGTGCCGAGACATTGCCTCACTTTAGCTTTACTTTAGGGCCGGCTTAGGGGCTAGGTTTCGGGTTTTAGGGTTAATACAGTGGAATTGTGTAGGGCTTGTTTACATGATGTTTTTTGTTGCAACGGCTTTACGGCTTCTTTGCAAGAGTTGTTACCGGTTTCGTCAAACTGGGCATCCCTTATTCGGGGCGTCTTCCTAAGAACGACCCCACTACTCAAGGTTTGTGGTAGGATCCCTGTAGGATCCCTGGGTATATCTTCCGGGTTCTGCAGTATCATACTGATTTTTTGTGTTTCGTGAACTGTTCCTTACAGGAACCAACACAAGAAACATTATGAAACAACAGTTTATACTTTTTCTCTCTGATCATACTAAGAAGCCCAGTCTTTCAGTTGCCAACGGTTTAAGGGTCTAGGGGGTTTAGGGTTGAGGGTTTAGGCTTTAGGGTTTGGGGTTTAGGGACCAGCTTGAATATTCAGGAAACATGCGGTGGGTCCCCTAAGTGGGCTTGGGGGGCTAGGGTCGGCGAATGGCCCGTGTGCCCAATATATGGGTACCTGAGTTTAGGGTTCAGGGGTTTCAGGTTTAGGGTTTAGGGTTTAGGGAAAGTAGCAAGTGTAGGTTGCAAGTAGTTAGAAGGAGGCTTAACTTAGCGACAAGACGCTGCTGGTAACGAAGCCCCTAAGCCCTAGACGCCAAGCCCTAAACCCTATGCCCTAAACTCTAAGCCCGAAACACAACCCTGAACCCCAAGCCCCTTAACTCTAGGTCCAAAAACTCTTCATTTCCCTTCAAACCTTCAGCTATAAGCGAACTGTTTCGGGCGGTATTTTGGGTTTCGTATGAGGCATAATGTAGGGATATATTTCTAAGGTTGAACCGTTGAACCCATGGGCCCCTAGTATGGGCCCTTAAGCCTGGGATTCTTATACACCTACTATATACCCTATATGTACCCTTAAGGGTCCCTAGAAAGGCCTGAGGGTCCATATTAGTGGCCCATACTTCTAACCTTAGAATATTGTTTGCCGGCAAATCCTGTGCAGCAAAACCGTGAGGCCCAAACCCTCAGCCCCTTTCGGAGCGACCTAAACCGATTGCTAGCACAAAGCACAACCCCTACACTTACTACTTAGGGGTACTTAGAAATATTTTTAAATCTTTGGTTACTATAAACCCTAAGAAGCAGCTGAAATTATGATTTTTGCTAGGGGTCTAAGTTCAGTATAGACTATAAGGGCCTCCGTAATTACCCATATTATTTTGGGGGCTCCTTTTTCTATTTCTACTATACAGGGCCCCAAACCCCTGTTCAAATTATTACTTGCCCTACATTAGAACCTTCAGCCCTATCTTTGTCTTGGCTGCTATGGGTCTTGAGCTGTTTATGCGCGGCGCAGTCTCGAGGTTTTCGCCGGCCCCGTTCGCCTTCTCTTAGGGACAGCAGTAAGAACCCATTCCCTCAACCTCAGAACATAGTTTAGCTGTTTGGAGTTTAGTTTTGTCTTGGGAGTTTCTGGGTCATCAGAAAGCACGGGAAATGACATAGCAGGCGACCACGGATGCGGCGCAACCCTCACTCAGAACTTCTGCAAGTCTTCGAGGTTGAAGGGGTGAGGGCTTCCGGGCTCGTTTTACGGCGCAGGGTTTGGGGGCCCCAAACCCTTAACCCATCAACCCTACCCCCTCTAAACCTCTAAGCCCTAAACCCTAAACCTCTAAACCCCAAACCCTAAACCCTCAACCCTACCCCTTTAAACCCTAAAGCGTCTAACCTTAAGCCTTCGACACTAAGGGTGTAGGTTTTGGGGTGCTTTACCCTAAGGCTCCATGTGCCCAT